GGCTTACAATAGCCTCTGCTGCCACTGTATTTCGAAACTGCCTCGCGGCGGCGATGGTAATGGCCTCTCAAGACTAAACATTGGAGAGCCCAGACGAGCAGACACGCGCCGCGCGTGGCCCCCTCAGCTATGTTAGCACCGAGAAACGGTCCTTAAAACCTTTGATGAGGCCATTAAAACGTGATAAACTCACATTGTCCATTTTTGTAGAGCTTTGAAGATGTGCTGTGTGTCTGCAAAGGGAAAAGTCAGTGAAACACGGCGAGGAAATAAGCAGAAGTGAACTAATTCACGGGAGCTGAAGGCTCAGGAGCACGAGCACAAGGAGACCAGATCAAGAGAACTATGAAATTAGAAGGACTAAAAGTACCAAAGTATAGAAATAGGAAGGCCGAAAACACTACAGAAGGGCGAACGGAGACGTTGTTGTTGTTGAGCGTGGCCGGGCCGACCATCTTTTATACGGTCCTTGTTGTTTATGACTATCTAAGTGAGTAGCGTTTCGACGACATAATCTGTTATCGTTCATGGTAACTTGTATAGAATGTTATGTCAATAACTTTTGGAAGGCTGGCTGGCACTGTAGTTTTTGCAGGGTACGTCATTCGAGCACGAAAAATCACATAATATTTATTATTATGCCGAATTTAAATAGATAAGAATCATGAGAGAATACTAAGTACATTGGTGGCCCGTCTTCTGTCGTCTCCTGGTTGCGTGGAAACGTAGTTCTTGGCGATCGTCGACTCCAGCACGTACACAACCCCGTTACTCAGCACGATTTCCGAGTCCTGCAAAAGTTCGACGTCACCTTTGAAAAGTGCTCGTTCAAAATCTATAGGACGGCGCTCATGTCGCTTGGGGGGGGGGGGAATTCAAGTGAGTGATACAGTCACAGTTAGTGTGCTTAGGACTAGCAAAGGAGATCTTTCAGGACATGGAGCGCTTTTTCGAAATGGTTTTCTGCATGTTGTAGGGGCTCATGCGAGGAACACAGAACCATGATCCATTTTTCCTGAACGCCTCCAGGAATGTCAAAACAGTGGTGAAGAAATGGTCCAGAGTTCGATCCCGGTGATGACTAATTTTTGCAATATAGTTTGGCCCCCAGATTGCCGCCAAATGGCGCCATCGTCGAGAATAGATGTCATTGTGCGGCAATTTGGAGGCGCCAACATAAATTGCAAAAATTTGTCATCACGGAGGATCGAACTTTGGACCATTTCTTCCCGCTGTTTTGACATTCCTGGGGCGTTCAGGAAAAATGGACCATGGTTTGTGTTCCTCACATGAGCCTCTACAATGCAGAAAACCATTTCGAAAAAGCGCTCCATGTCCTGGTCGACCCCCCTTGTAAGCCTCAGGGAGGCTAGGTATTCTGGGGGAGGATGAAAGCAATTTGTGTTCTCGTTGGATTCTTCCCCTTCCTGGGCTTAGTCCTAAAGTCTGCTTCCATCGACCCTGTTTTGAGCGTCTTTAGAGACATGAGCGCCCATAGGACTGTTGTTTGAGAGCTGTACCTCCACTCGCGCTCCATCAATGTACGTTTCGCC